CCCTCAGTGCTCATACCAAATCAAACTTGGCAGATATACCAGACAGTTTAACATAATATCCAAGTTTAGAGACTGGATAAAAGTATTATTATTAACTACAAAACAATTTTTACAAAAAAGTCAACAACTACAACAATCAAGGAAAACTTGGAAAGAACACGTGTGCGGAAGGAATGAGACAATTTTTTAATATTTTGTCTTATTATTGAATAATAAATCTTAATTTCTACTATTAATTATTTTGAGATGATAATAAATCTCAAACTCCTTGAAATCAAACTGAGGTAGGCAAGTAAACAATTTTTGTCACCAAATTAACCAAATACCTAGTGATAAAAGTAGGCCATGAAATAACATCTCATTGTCTAGGAAAATACAACTTTGTTTGAAAAATCACATGCATCCACCAAATTCATTATTTGATCATGTATATTTCTGATTCACAATTACTCATTGCAGGGTTCTTTTTAGGGCAGAGGTGTTCGGTGCTATATTTGTGGATTTCGGCGCTTTACTTGGGACTTTGGCAATATGTGTTCGGAACACCTCGGCGCTTGATTTCATATTTGCCATGCCAGTATGTGCAAAAGGTTTGTTTGCCACGCTTGTCTGCCCCAATCGGCACTCAAAATTAGTGCCAACAACGGAAATGCTTTCGACCAGGAGTAATGTCCGATTATTATTATAATTACGTACCGACCGACACACATGTTGCCAGTCATGGATTATAATTTGTGAACAATAGACCTCGTCGCACTATACGTAGCGGCCAGTCAATTTTGTGAAATTAGCACCTCTTTGTAAGTAAATGCTTTCTGCGATAGACAGTCTTTAGAGTGAAAGCTAAAATTCTTTCAAAATCAATTCCACCTTGATATAACAAGGTCAAAGCTGAGTTCACGATCAGTTTACGCTACTCGAGAAAAAAAACGTGTTTATTGTATATTGAAACTGTTATCATCGCGAATTATGTAAAAACTCTTCTTTTAAGACCTATTTTACCTTTTAAAAATTGCTAATCACCTCTTTCGAAAACCATAATGCAGTTTTTAACTGAAATCGATGCTAACACATGTAATGTAATTTTTATGATCACTACCATTCAGAAAACTTCGGATTCTACGGGAATTACCATGCAGCATTATGATTGGTTAATGGCATTCTTGACATATCGGGTCAAAGGACAACTAATGGGTCATTTTGGTGGGTCTGTGTTTTTTACCAAAGCGATCGAGTGATCAAAAAAAATCGCTCCCGATAAAAATAAGTCAGATTTTACTTTCATATCAAAAGAAAAAGTTACATTTTTTGCAATGGCATCATGACTGAGTAGGAGGAATTATTGATATAACCGGCGTATTATATAACAATGCAAAGTAAGATATGTTATGTCGTAACTTTGATGATTGTTTTGAAGTTTTATTTGTTTGTTCATTACTTTAAATGTAAACGTTTTAGAAGTTGATGGCAGCCTAGGAAGTTGCGAGTACCTACTCGAAAATGCGTCTGAAAATATGTCTATATGAGTACAAACTTGTAATTATCCGCATTTAGCTTGTAGTTTTCAGAAACTACTCGTATTTTGCGAGTGAAAATTGAAGCCCTACACGCAGCTGAAACATGCCTTGCACGAGTCAGACTAGACGAGATACCGTGTACGACCTTTAGGCTTTGAATAATTTACGATGTACTCGGAAAGTCTAGTTTCAGGTGCATGTCAAGAGTCATATTGCAATTGATAGCATACATGTACAAGTCAAAATAAAAAAATATTAACATTGTAAATATGTTATTGGCAGTTGTTTTGTTCTAGTCAAAATACGGGCATACAGATTTTTTAAATGAATGTCGGTTTACACTAGTGGCAGCTCTTTGATTGTCAATTAAATAATTTTCATTGGCTAACATGACGGCGTTTTTCAGTGTCAATTAAGTCGTGTTGGAAAGAACAATAATCAAAGTCACACTGTCGCATTTTCGGCTCGAACAAGACATGGCGAATAAGCAGATTACTAATTACTTTCGGCTGGTTGAGCAGAACAAAATTCCAACAACAAACTCAAGGACATCAGATCCTACATCCTTGCATCCAGCCACAAAACGGAAGATGTGGGTGATCTAATACTTATCAGCCTGGAAGGCCCTAGCATGGCCTGAATTTGATCCTTCAAGTTCTGTTCACAGATGGATGCAAGAATCAGTGCGAGCTAGACTACCAAGTATGAAATTGGTGTGGCCTGATAATATCGTACATGCAGTGTTCGACCAGGATAATAATCAATACTTTTTGTAACAGAGAGCGGTATCTCATTACAGTATGTCATTATTGTAGTTGCATGGGCAAAGTTTAACTTAACACATTTTATTTGTTCTACGCATGAAACAATTTTGCTCCTAATTTTTTAGTGCTTAGGAGCATTTTGTTCTTTGCCAAAAAGTTAACTTCCCAGGCTGGATGGTACGAATAATAAATTACAATACGCCAATTAATTACGTGGTCGTTTTTTTGAAGGAGAATGTTTATGGAGTAAATAGAATCATGAAATTCGTGAATGAATTTATGAATTAATGTTTTGAATGATATTCATTTAACATAAATAATAATTTATTTGTTTTTGTTTTTAGTCTGCAGCATTTGTATTTCGAGAATGTTTGATTTTTAAATTCAAACTCTTCTAAATTGTGAAAAATAATGTGTTGATTCTATTAAAAAAAATATTTGCAATGTGATCGATCTCATTAATATTCATAATTGTAAAGGAGTCCTGTTAATTAACAAATGAAAGGCATGTAAATGATACACAAATTATTATGCAAATGATATGCAAATTAGTTACAGCATTATGCATTTATTTTGAGGAGAACCCTGCATTGATCTGAATAATAAACTGGATACAGTGTTCAAAGACTTTATTTTTATTAGATTACATTATTTAAAATGATTCCATGCATTACAAATAACTTGTTTATGTTTTATAGAGGAACTGCTAAAAATGAAAAATTATGTAAATTAGATAATTAATTACTCTAAACTTGCTCAATATTGTAGGCAAAAATAGATAACTATTCTAATAATTAACCAAGTTCAACAGAAACTACCACATTCAAAAGTTTAAATTTCACAAATTTCTTTTTCAATTAGAACCGAACGACAATACAAAAACACACAAAGCAGATGAGTATTTTCGGAAATCTTTTGGTAGACAATCATGATGTCTAGGCGCGAGTTTGCGAGATTTGTTCAGTATATCAACATGGTATATATTACCTTTCATTTTTTTTTACATTCATGATCCTGCTTAGACCGGAAAAATAAATGCAGTTATATGATGCAAATGT